GGTAGAAACAGATACACAGAAGAGAAAAAGGGGATAACAGATACAAAGAGAATGACAAGGAGTGTGAAGAGCTCAACAAGAGATTCCAGGATGGCTTCACAATAGAGCCAGGAGAAGCCCCTGTACTTAGAGAGGAGGCGATAAACAAAGCAACCTAGGAGGAATTTGACCTCACCAGTGATGATGTCAAAAGGAATCTGTTGGAGCTGTATGTGACAAAGGCTGATGGGCCTGACAGAATCTCACCCGTGGATACTAAAATAGGGCGCAGAAGCATTAAGTGTGCCACTCTCTATGGTATATAACAGGTAACTGAAAACAGGAGACCTACCAGAAATATGGAAGACAGCTAATGTAGTCCCAATATACAAAAAGGGTGACAAGCAAGAGGCACTGAAATACAGGCCAGTTTCCCTAACTTATATACCATGCAAGGTGATGGAGAAGAGCGTGAGGAAAAGGCTCGTATAACATCTGGAAAGAAGGAGCTTTGTAACGCACCACCAGCATGGGTTCAGGGATGGTAAATCGTGCCTCACAGGCTTAATAGAATTCTATGATCAGGCGACAAAAAAATAGGCAATAAAGAGAAGAGTGGGCAGACTGCATTTCCTTAGATTGTCAGAAAGCCTTTGAAACAGTACCCCATAAGAGGCTGTTACAAAAGTTGGAGCAACAGGCAGGAGTAAAAGGTAAGGTGCTCAGGTGGATAAGGGACTATCTAAGCAACAGGAAACGGCGAATAACTGTGAAGGGGAGACATCAGAGTGGCGAGATGTCACCAGCGGAGTCCCACAGGGCTCTGTACTGGGATCCATTCTGTTTTCGATATGTGTAAACGATCTTCCAGATGGTTTAGACTCATTCCTCTCAGTGTTTGCTGATGATGCATAAATTATGAGAAGAATCAAGACAGACACTTCAGGACAAACTGGAGGAATGGTCTAGAAAATAGCTACTAAAGTTTAACTCAGGAAAGTGTAAATAATGAAATTAGGTGAAGGGAGTAGGAGGCTGACCAAAAGGTACCATCTGAGAGGTGAAATCCTGCAAGAGTCAAATAGAGAGAAAGATCTGGAGGTTGATATCACACTGAACCTGTTCCCAGAAGCCCACATCAAAAGAATATCATCAACGGCATATGCTAGATTGGCCAACATAAGAACTGCCTTTAGAAACCTGTGTAAAAAATCATTCTGTACTTTGTATACCACCTATGTCAGACCAAATCTGGAATATGCAGCTCCGGCCTGAAGTTCATGTCTAGTTAAACACAAGACAAAGTTAGAGAAGATTCAGAAGTATGCCACCAGACTAGTCTCAGAACTGAGAGGTATGAGCTACGAGGAAAGGCTACGAGAGCTAAACCTCATGTCTCTGGAATCCAGAAGAGAAAGGGGAGACATGATCACCACCTACATAATTCTCAGAGGAATTGACAGAGTGGAAAAAGACAAATTATTTAGCATGGGAGAAACACGAACAAGGGGACACAGGTGGAAACTTAGTGCCCAAATGAGCCAGAGACATTAGAAAGAATTTGTTTAGTGTCAGAGTATAGTTAACAGATGGGAATGCGCTAGGCAGTGTTATGGTGGAGGCAGAGTCCACTTACAGCTTCAAATGCAGATTTGATAGAGCACAACAAGCTCAAGAATATGTACACCAGTTGATTGACAGTCGAGAGGTGGGATCAAAGAGCCAAAGCTCACCCCCCGCAAGCACAACTAGGAAAGTACAACTAGGTGAGTACACACACACACCTGGAGAAGGTTCAAATGTAAGCCACTAGACTAGTTCCAGAACTAAGAGGCATGAGTTACGAGGAAAGGCTGCGTGAACTGCACCTCACGTTGCTGGAAGACAGAAGAGTTCAGGGAGACATGATCACCACATACAAAGTTCTCAGGGAAATTGACAGGATAGACAAGGATGGATTATTTAACACGGGTGGCATTCGTACATGAGGACACAGGTGGAAACTGAGTACCCAAATGAACCACAGAGACATTAGAAATAACTTTTTCAGTGTTAGTGTAGATAGTAAATGGAATGAATACATTAGGAAGTGATGTGGTGGAGGCTGACTCCATTCACAGTTTCAAATGTAGATATGATAGAGCCCAATAAACTCAAGAACCTGTACTCCAGTTGATAGTTGAGAGGCGGGACCAAAGAACCGAAGCTCATCTCTCGCAAGCACAATTTGGTGAGTTTAAACACACTAACAAACTGAAATTCACAACTTTAAAAGCAGATATGATAAGGTAATGGATTAGGAGTCATCGCATTAGACAACTGGCGGATAGAAAAGTGGGGTCCAAGAGCTAGAGCTCGATCTTGCAGGCACAAATAGGTGCGTACTCTTACATGTGTAATAGTGAACACAATCTTCCAGACAATAAGGAATTAGAGGCTACTCATTTGGGGGAGAAGGTGTATTCCTTTTGCTTCAGTTACTGCAGTTTTATGGATATAAAATTATAAATGAACGAGAAATAACTAACCCACAAAAATATGACAACAGTAGATACAAATAATATGGTGATAGGTGTCATTTTCAGTCCTCGGTACATCCTCATCATAGGCCTCGTTTGCAATGCTTCCAAATTAACCTGTTATCTCATCGAATACGTCTATTTATTTAGGGAATAGAGCAAGCCGTTAAAACTGTGACGTATTAGTACAAATTAAAGCACTGTAATATCCATGGTATCTGTGCATTAGGCTTGATAGCTTAAGTGGTTTGCTTGAGTTCGTGTGTTTCTGGCTAGGACAAATAATTGCAAAACAGTTAGGCAAAAAAACAGGCTGAGTAATATGTGGTAATAAATTATAAAATTATTATTTGGTTATTCGCCTTACATACAAAGATATTCCCAATACACGTTATTCTCAAACTTGTAGAGGATACGATACCACAAACAGTATAACTGGTTTGCTCGAAACAGCCAAAGATTAGAGAGCATCATGTTTTTCTTAAGTCGGACACAGATATACACTCATTCATAATAACGCGATTCAGGTCAAACTGTTTTGGCTTGCTCACAGACAAGTTGTTTACATGATACTTGCAGTGCTTGATTACGAGTAAGGCATAATTGTCCTTGATAATATAGTTTGTATTGGGATCTCCATCATTAGATCATTGTGTTGATAGATACAAGTACTACACAGTGCAACACTATATCTCTGAATGTGAGAAAACGACTCCTAGATTGTTTCAATTATAACTTACGAGGAATGTCCCATTACTTTATTGCTAATAATACGATATCTGAATTCATATTTTAACCACAGTATATTCAACCACAGTATTATTCACAGAATAATCACAAAAAACACGTGATTCGGTTATGCGTAAGTATCCATTAGAAAAATTAAACGAAAATTCCGAACGTTTCGGTGTTTCAACACATTATCAAGGCTATACAGATAGATGACATAGGAGTTTGGGATTATATACCCAACTACACTTGACTAGACCAAGAACCATAAGCTAAAACATCAATGGAGGTGAGATAATGAAGTGGATATTAACTGGGTATTAAATGAATATTATCTGGGTATTCTTTCATTCATGCACTATTTTTATACCAATCACAATAGGTCTATATTGATAGGTATACTAATAGTTGGTGCAGTTGGGTATATAATGCCAAATTAAACAGACCTAACCTAAACGTTTCTAGGCCTAATACACGATATCTGAAGCCTAATTCAGTTCATATGTGTGCTAAACTATGCTTAGGAATATTTAGGTTAGGTTTTAGCTTACTTTTTCCCGATTATAAAGTGAATAGTACAAAGTTCTACTAATTGCTTAGAACGGCACACTAATCAACAAATTATATATATATATATATATATATATATATATATATATATATATATATATATATATATATATATATATATATATATATATATATGACAGTGTCAGACCACGGAGGAAGAATTGAAACAGTAATTTCCTTAAGCACTTTCGTATATTAATACAGCTTCAGAAGGAATAGGAATTCCTATTCCTGTATTCCTTCCTATAATTAATTTTCATGATTTACTCACACACACACACACACACACACACACACATATTATATATATATATATATATATAAATATATATATATATATATATATATATATATATATATATATATATATATATATATATATATATATATATAATATTTTGTATAAGTATCTAAATATTTATTGACATATGAATAGGCTACTACTAATCTTTCCGTCTCATCAACATTCCACACGATTACGAACACTTGCTGAACGTAAGATGTTGATGAAGCAGAGGAGTGGCATGTGTTAACCTGTCACTCACCAAGTGCAACTCATAAACTTGCATCTCAGATATTGCCTTAGAGGATGGCTGCTGCCAAAGGAAAGCGACCTTCCAATAAATCAGGATCAAAACAAACCAATTGATCGAGGTTATACTTGTGTAAACGTCTGTCATATAATAATTGACTTCCGTGATAACTGTAGTAAATGTAACATGGTCTATTGTTCACGGAAAGCAGAGAAAACATTGCAAAGCTTACACGTAAACTGAACAAGGGAGAGAGAGTGTTGAGCGAGCGAGCAAGGCGAGCTTCCTCTCTGCAGTTAGGGCGTGATCTCTTTATGTTTCCCGAGGTTTTGAGTCATTGTGGCGTTATACTAAGGACATGCCTCGATTTGTGTATTTACGATTGTATTTAGGGTTTATTTATACTTACATTCACAAAAGAACTAACACTGTTTACTCACCAACAATAAAAACAACGTAAATAGCCTATATTAACGCCTAAACTAGAGAAAACGAATGTCTTTGTCGCGCCGTGTGTTCACCATTTGCGCGAAGCAGGCATGAAACGCACGTGATGCCTTCTCTGGCCCTGCTGCAAGCTAGCGCGCTATTGGTCGGCAGCCTCACATAGAAACTGCCAGAGCCAATGGGACCGAGCGTAACACTCTGAGCCACTCGAAGCAAGGTGGCTACGAGATTTTGACAGTAGTTGGCTTACAGACATTGTGGAGTGAGGGTGTGCACGCTCCCGCGTTTCGTCCGCGGCTTTCACGTGGATTTATTTATTATAACAACAATTATGAGCCTGGCTGTTTTACTACAAGCTGCAGAATATATCGAACGGCGGGAGCGGGGTAAGGATGTTGCGTTAATAATACTTGCTTATGCTTTAACATACGAAGGAAAAAAAAGACATCGATTTTACGGTGAGGACGAGCGTTGCATGATTCCGTTAACAAACACGAATTAATTGCTAGCAAACTATTCCTACAGTAAACACAACAGCCTAGTACAAAGGGGAAGACCCAAGGCAGGATGAGTGGTAGACAAGTGAGAAGTGGCAAGCATCCGCTCTTGTGTCAGCAAGACGAGAGCAACGATGAAGCTTCATCCTATTTAGTATCGTATAACATGTGTGCTCTCACACATTATAGTGATACCGATGGAAATAATTGAACGTAATCATTGTCTACAACAGCAATATAATAGTCTTGATCCAAGTTAGTGCAATGAATGTTTGGCACTGCGAAGCACGTGACAATGGTGACTGGTGTATGCAAGCTGTTTACTCCTGTGATATATTATGATTTTTTTTATTATTCATTTTGGGTACACACTACTGTGCTGTTAACCTAATATATAATAGAGGGGTAGGATTTTTTTACATATATATGATTCGAATTAAGTCAATAAACTAGCACTAGCGAACTTCACCTGGAGAATATATTCCAGTATCCGTGTGTGAATGAAATAATTACAAAGTTCCTGGAATATCATGCCATTTGTTCTAAAATCAATGATAATTAAGCATTGATGAGTATAGTGTTGAAGTGTGTTCTAGTTTTGTTTTTACAGAATATACTAGAGAGTGCTCGTGCTGGGAGATTTGATTCCTGTCAGGTTCTGGCTATTACTGTATTACAATGTGAATGGTGGATGTTTATGTGTAGTTCTCGGTTATAAACGTATCACAGTTCTTATTCTAATATTTAGTGCTTTATTCCCTTTTGAGTATTTGAGTTACCTTCTGACAGACCTATTCGAGGTGGAATCCAAACAAAGGAGATGCGAAACCACTTGCTTTGTGCATCGAATGTATTTTTTTAATTGCTTTTATTAGGTTATTGCTGTCTGTTTTGCAAGTTGTGCTCTGAAGTGCTGAAAGCGCTGAGTTGACACAAATTTACTTCTCCTATGGATTCTAGCCTATTAGTAACTAAGATAATGCAGCTGTGCGCGTGAAATTAGTTATTAGTTTAAATTTGTTATTTTTTTTTAAACTGCTGAGACAATGTGACCTGTTGATAGTTGGGCGGAGCCGTAGGTATAAACCTAATGCTCATGTGACCTTTAAGGTATTTACAGAAAAGTCAATAGTGTTGCTGCTTTGAGTAACGGTGGATTTGTATTACTTCTCTCAGAAATAAGTGCATAAGGTACTGGTGTGGCAGGGTACAGATAGTGTGGAATATCGTTAATTACTGCATTGTCCGCAGTATGAATATTTTGTTTGGTGATGTGGACAATGCAAATCTTTCTAAGGCAGAGAGTATACAGGCTGCGTGTTGGTGCGTTGGCAACTCGTGTTGCCAGACTGTTGTACACCAGATAGTTTGTATCTTAAGCAGTGTTGACGATGTTGACTACCTCATGATATTAATGGATTAGATCGTGTTCAGTTGTAAACAATTCGAATATGGTGGGAAGAGGGAATTCTTCCCTCATGCTCTTTATATTGTGCATCTAGGGGCACCAACATGTCTTAATATTTTATTGTTTATAGTGTTTTCAGCAGGGCTAGGGAAATTGATTAGGTGCAACACGTAGTCATCAACTAAGGTGAATGCACCTTGTTGCTCATGTGACAGGTGACTGATGTGTGCAAGGTGTTGCTCGTGAGGTGAGTGTGCCCACTAATATATATATATATATATATATATATATATATATATATATATATATATATATATATATATATATATATATATATATATATATATATATACCCTGGTATAACACCTATGTACAACTCGGAGCTGATCAAGCAGGTGGGGCAGCCAACCACAGGGAAATAGCAAAATCAGCCAAATACTGTACAGGCGATTGGAAGGTCGATACACCTTTGTTCCCATAGCGTCTGAGACGCATGGCCCCTGGGGCAAGAGTGCCTTGGGATTTCTCAAGGAATTGGGCTCCAAGCTCATTGACGTCACCAGAGACCCAAAAGCTGCCAGTTTTTTGTTTCAGCACCTCAGTGTGGCAATCCAGAGGAGAAACGCCTGCTGTATCTTCTGTTCCTGTCCGGAAGCGGAGGAGCTTCAAGAGATTCATAACCTTTAAGCAGTCTTTGTATCAACCAATGTATATCATGTAACCTTTAAATACATAATAAAGCAAAAAAAAAAAAATCAAAAGGAAAGGGGTGGTAGGAGAAAAGCACACAGAAACGGTATTGGAGGGGACCTAAACATTCCCTCTAATGTGTTTTGTGTGGTTTCCTCCGAGGCTAAGGGTCCCCTTCATCCAGCCAGAGGTGGTACTCTCTTCCCTATAAATAAATAAATAAATAAATAAATATATATAATGTATATATATATTATTAAATATGACCGAAAAAGTAAGATTAATAATTCTAACACGAATTTTCTCTATCTTTCTTATGTTTCTTTTCACTGTTGATGGTAATTCAAAGATCAATTCTCCAAAATTCATTTTTATTGAATTTTGGAGAATTGATCTTTGAATTACCATCAACAGTGAAAAGAAACATAAGAAAGATAGAGAAAATTCGTGTTAGAATTATTAATCTTACTTTTTCGGTCATATTTAATAATATATGTCTACAGGAAAGACTGCTACCAAAATATACTAATAATGTATATATATAAATATATATACATTATATATATTTATGTATATAATATAAATATATATAATGTATATATAATGTATATATATATATATATATATATATATATATATATATATATATATATATATATATATATATATATATATATATATTATTCCTAGAAGGGGTACCACCTCTGGTGCAAGTGTAGGGACCCATAGCCTCGGAAAAGAAAATAAAGAGTACTCAGAGAAGACCTTGTGGATCCTCACTGAGCACTTTATATATATATATATATATATATATATATATATATATATATATATATGTGTGTCGTACCTAGTAGCCAGAATGCACTTCTCGGCCTACTATGCAAGGTCCGATTTGCCTAATAGGCCAAGTGATTTTCTTTATTTAAAAAAAATTTCAAATGTTATATTTTAAATATTATTATTATATTATATTAAGATAATAAATTATTGACTTAGTTATGTTAGTTTATGTTAGGTTAAGATAGGTTAGGTTATGTAGGGTAGGGTAGGTTAGGTTCGGTTCGGTCGTTAGTTTTAACTCAAATTAAAAAAAAATGAACTCATACATAATGAAATAGAAAGGTTTATAATTTCAGAATAAAAAATAAAAGGTAAATAAATTCAGGAAAACTTGGCTTATTAGGCAAATCAGGCCTTGCAAAGTAGGCCGAGTACTGCGTTCTGGCTACTAGGTACAACATTGAGATATATATATATATATATATATATATATATATATATATATATATATATATATATATATATATATATATATATATATATATATATATGTCGTACCTAGTAGCCAGAACGCACTTCTCAGCCTACTATGCAAGGCCCGATTTGCCTAATAAGCCAAGTTTTCATGAATTATTATATTTTCTCTAATTTTTCTTCTTATGAAATGATAAAGCTACCCATTTCATTATGTATGAGGTCAATTTTTTTTTATTGGAGTTAAAATTAACGTAGATATATGACCGAACCTAACCAACCCTACCTAACCTAACCTAACCTATCTTTATAGGTTAGGTTAGGTTAGGTAGCCGAAAAAGATAGGTTAGGTTAGGTTAGGTAGGTTAGGTAGTCGAAAAACAATTATTTCATGAAAACTTGGCTTATTAGGCAAATCGGGCCTTGCATAGTAGGCTGAGAAGTGCGTTCTGGCTACTAGGTACGACATATATATATATATATATATATATATATATATATTATGTCGTACCTAGTAGCCAGAACGCACTTCTCGGCCTACTATGCAAGGCCCGATATGCCTAATAGGCCGAGTGATTTACTTTATTTTCAATAAATTGTTTAAATTTAGTTAATTTGAATTATTATAATATTATATTAAGAACATAAATTATTGACTTAGTTGTGTTAGTTTAGGTTAGGTTAAGATAGGTTAGGTTAGGTTAGGTAGGGTTGGTTAGGTTCGGTCATATATCTACTTTAGTTTTAACTCAAATTTAAACAAATTAACTCATAATGAAATGGATAGCTTTATCATTTCATAAGAAAAACAAATTGAAAACGATATAAATTCAGGAAAGCTTGGCTTATTAGGTAAATCAGGCCTTGCATAGTAGGCTGAGAACGACGTTCTGGCTATTAGGTACAATATATATATATATATATATATATATATATATATATATATATATATATATATATATATATATATATATATATATATATATATATGTCGTACCTAGTAGCCAGAACGCACTACTCAGCCTACTATTCAAGGCCCGATATGCCTAATAAGCCAAGTTTTCATGAATTAATGTTTTTTCGACTACCTAACCTACCTAACCTAACCTAACCTAACTTTTTCGGCTACCTAACCTAACCTAACATATAAAGATAGGTTAGGTTAGGTTAGGTTGGGTTGGTTAGGTTCGGTCGTATATCTACGTTAATTTTAACTCAAATAAAAAAACATTGACCTCATACATAATGAAATGGGTAGCTTTATCATTTCATAAGAAAAAAATTAGAGAAAATATATTTTTTCAGGAAAACTTGGCTTATTAGGCAAATCGGGCCTTGCATAGTAGGCTGAGAAGTGCGTTCTGGCTATTAGGTACGACATATATATATATATATATATATATATATATATATATATATATATATATATATATATGTCGTACCTAGTAGCCAGAACGCACTTCCCAGCCTACTATGTTAGGCCCAATTTGCCTAATAAGCCAAGTTTTCCTGAATTAATATATTTTCTCTAATTTTTTTCTTATGAAATGAGAAAGCTACCCATTTCATTATGAGGTCAATTTTTTTTATTATAGTTAAAATTAATGTAGATATATGACCGAACCTAACCAACCCTACCTAACCTAACCTAACCTATCTTTATAGGTTAGGTTAGGTTTGGTAGCCGAAAAAGTTAGGTTAGGTTAGGTTAGGTAGGTTAGGTAGTCGAAAAACAATTATTTCATGAAAACTTGGCTTATTAGGCAAATCGGGCCTTGCATAGTAGGCGTAGAAGTGCGTTCTGGCTACTAGGTACGACATATATATATATATATATATATATATATATATATATATATATATATATATATATATATATATATATATATATATATATATATATATTGGTAAACACTATATCGTGGCTAATAACATTTCATTCATTTCGGACCATCTGAGCCTCGAACTGCAGATGCCAAAAGCTCAACCCGCAGCTGTACCAACTTGAGCCACCAACACCCACAATATAAAAGGTTCCCAGAGACACCAATTTGCTGTCCTTCAGTCCTTCACAGGAGTGCCACTTTGGCATGAAGGTGTTAGGCCAGTCACGTCCTAGTCATATGAATTGCTAATTACTCTATCGTGAGAAATACAATGTGAGGCAACATTTACATCTCCTTGAGAACGTCCTGGATTTTGTTGATTTATTTATTATAAAGCAACATGTTTGTTGCTTTATAATAAAGTTTTTAAAGTTTTTATTTGTGTGGGGCTGCCCAAAATGACTAAAATGATTTCTACCTGAAAAATATCAATGAATATACCAATGAGAATAATAATGATATTTGAAAAAAGTTCGTATAAATAAGCCTATATTCAGGATGTAGGCTATTCGATATGCTCTTAGAAACATAAAATATAGGCCTATCACAGTTTTTCACTAATTATGGCATTGATACTAGCATATATACTACCAATGCATGCTAGTATGGCTAGCATGGAGCATGGATATATATAGTTATAGACAGTAACATTAAGATATAACTAGCCTAGCTTTCGGCTTATCAACTTACGCTACGGTCACGTTTTCACGAATTGTTATTCATCCAGATCGATTTAGTTAAATCTGTAGGTCAGATCAGGATTGAGGTAATGTAAAACATTACTTCAGTCCTGATCTTCGTTTTCCCCACCCCATAACTCCCAGTGCCAACGGTGTCTACGCCTTTATATCCACAAATCCAAATGCGACAATTTTCGAGAATTTCTTTCGCTTCTCCAAATCTGCCTTACTGCAAACAGTTCAGTTTCTGTCACCCTTCCTTTTCTAAATCCCTGTTGGTTCTCTTCAATCCTGCGTTCGACCGCCATCTTGGCTCTAGCATCTTATATCCGTTCCAGCACCTTCACGTCCTGTCTGAGTAATGTGTCACCTTCGTATCTTTCTGGGTCTCGTATGTCTTGCTTCGCGGTCCATGGTCGTATTAGTTTCCTCCAATTGCCTCGTATCTGCTAAGCTTTGAGGACTCCTCTTTAACTTGAATAACGGCAAATTTTGTTTAGGCTATAATCTTTAAATTTGTTCATAATGTTTAATCTCAGAATTATAATAAATACGCCCTTTAGAATATTAGGTATGTATGTTTAATAGTTCGACCTCGATTTGAGCACAGGTATTAGCCTATTTCAATAATTATTAAGTTATCCTCCAAAAATGATAGTTCCTATAGCAACTATGAATGGAATGTTCAAAATAGAAACTTAAAAAAAAACTAATGTTTTGTACTGCTGGAATATTACAAAGGGCATGAAAAAAGTGGAACGGTAACTATAAACCTAACCTGATGCAATCCTAAGACCTATTATATGCATCTTAGAACTAATTTAGTACATATATGTTAATACTAGGCCTCGGTAAGCTTTGATTTGGTTTTTAACCGTTATTCTCGGGCTCTCTACAAAGTGATTAGTACAAAACGTGGACTTTTTTCCGGATGCAATATTCCAAATCATGTGCTTCAATTCACATAGGTACTATCATTTTTGGATGACACGCTTACATTTATGTAAAAATATTGTCGCTATAGTATAGTATCATCCTTTGTAGATGACACTAGATTTTTATGAGAGTAGAAAATGTACAGAACACAGCAAATCTCCAAAGTGATGAAATTAGGTCTTCCAATGGGCCACAGAAAACAACACGATGTTCAGTGAAGATAAGTTCCAGCTCCTCCGCAATGGTGAAAACGAAAAAAACAAAACGGATTCCCATCATACTATCGAAATAAAAATAACAGATTTTGGAGTAATCATGCCGGGAGAAAGTGCCTTAAAGAAAATTATAAGGTTCTTGTCACAGCTGCAAAAAAAAAAATGCATAGGCTGAATAGAAGAATATTTCAAACACGAGATGCCAGACCTATGACGGTAAATTTTAATAATTATTGTTAATTATTAATTTATAAGACAATAGTGCTTTCCAGGATGAAATACGTTTGCATACTAACAGCCCCATTTAAAACTGGATAACACCAGGATAACGTGCAGAGATCATTTAATGGCCGAATGCATTCAATAACCATCTATTGGGACCGCTTAAAATTTTTCAACCCATATTCTCCAGAGCGCAGGCGAGATACATAATAATTTAGATTTGGAAAATATTAGTGGACTAGTTTCAAATCTTCACACGAAAATAACTCGTGAGACCAGAAGGCATGACAGGAAGTGCAAGGTCGCCATGATGAAAAGCAGATATGCAGTGTGCATGCTACGGGACAATTCAATCAACGTTGGGGGCAAAGACTTCAACACTCGCTATATCCATAAGGGGCATAATTAGCCGGCCTCTCACGGTGTTAACAAAATTGACAAAACACCTTCAAAGTATACCTGTTCAACAGATAGTGAGTGAGTCATGCGTCAGACTGCGAGCAGCGGTGTCTAACAGCCTGGTTGATCAGACTGGCAACCTGTAGGCCTGGTTAGAGTTCGGGCCATGGAGACATTGATTCGTTGAGCCATAACAAAATTATTAAAATATTCATGGCTTCACTAGGTAAGGTAATTATCGGGAGAAAATACTAAACCTTTACGACTATATAGCACTTGGAAGGGATAAGATGAAAAGGCTTTAGGATAGGACGGAGGAAAGGAATGGTTCCTCACCACTTGGACAGTCGGGGATTGAACGCCGACTTGCAAGAAGCAAGACCACCACTGCCGTCCCGTCCAAGTGATTATTGGCCTTCACTAGACGTCAGTATTACAGTGTTGAAACTGAAATCTTGGTCTCATAAAATGCTAAGGATACATTTTCTACATATTGACAAACAAACATGAGTTTCTTGAACATATTTGTCACACTATAATAACTCTCGTATAATACTTAACAAAATCGTGTGAAGTGTTGTCATAACGAGCCCAATTAATGACCAGTCTGCATTATTTATGCAAGTTTATAGACGGTAATAAACTCGATAGGATATTATACTGGCACACGTAACCTATGTAAACTCGACCTCTGAAATGGTAGTTTTGTTCAATTCATATTAATATGAATTGACGGTATTACTATAAATTATATTTGGATGACATTATATATATACGCTTCGTAAATGTTATTTTTTATACATATATAAGAAAGATAGCAGACGTTAATCATGTGATGCATTCTTTTGAGAACAATACCGCAAGTGTTTCATAAATATTAATGCTTCCCATGTTTCCACCTACAGAGATGGAGCACGGCTATGCCTCTACCTTACCTATGCCCGACCACTACAGATATTCAAAATCCTCCAAGCGATCGCGATCCAAATCTAAGTTGCAGAGTAACCGGTGAGTCAGATTTAAAGCACGTTATATTCTATACGTTAAGGATAGGATTTTAGGTTGTTAAATACAATAATTGCTGTTCAAATGCAATTTTATGCTTGGGAATCATGTAATATAGACTTTAAAAATAGACTTCTAGGCTTCACGCAAGAAGGGCATGTTAGAGGTGTTTATATTGCTGGCTACGACTTCAAGTGACTAACGGTCACTAGCCTACTGCATCTTCAGGGCATTGCTACGGTTTTAGATGATTATGGAGCACAGAATTGTACTAGATACCCGTCTAACAAATCTGAAAATTAAGGAAATGACGTTTCGGTCCGTCTTGAACCATAATCAAGTGTACGTATATGACTTGATAATGGTCCAGGGCGGACCGAAACGTCATTTCCTTTATTTTCAGATTTGTGGGTTGGTGTCATATTTTCAGTCTTGTTATTGTGACTGTTTTTCACGTAATAATACTTGTCTAAAAGGTGGGAATATTGACAGTAATTGGAAAATATACCCTACGAAAGCTCAAGTTTAATTCCCCACGTGTTATTTTTTGTGGTACATTAAATTATAGAATTTGTAAATAAAATGGAACAAAAAATCTATTAAATTGTGGGGCATTTGATTTTTAGATAGCAAAGTAGAGTTGTTATTTCTGTTTTAATAATAGTAAATCTTAGTGCATTATATAATTAAGAATTGAATTTAAACGCATATTAATATTATGGTTTTAAGCATTAATAGCAGTTCTCAGATGGAAAATGATAAGTTGTTGTTTTGAAGATTATATAGCTGTAGCTTACAAATTGTATTTGAATTCTCTCTCTCTCTCTCTTTCTCTCTCTCTCTCTCTCTCTCTCTCTCTCTCTCTCTCTCTCTCTCTCTCTCTTTTTTCTTTTTTTTAAGCCGATAGGATGCAGCTAGAATTGGTAACCGTAAGAGTTAACAACTTGGCTGTAGCAAGTGGGGTACCTGTGGATGGGGTGGCCAGCTGTAACACATTAAAGTATTACGCAATAATAAGCACGAACTCGTCCTTCACATGGGGAAGTCTACATGGAAGGAATCGGTGTACACGAGATTAAGATTAGGACATAAATATTGCTGGTAATACGTTGCTCATGTCTATGAAAAAGATATGAATGCAAATGATTAATTTAATATGTAACACATTCACACGGTGGGTCGCTATGTCCTATAGTGTAAATTGTTTGAACAATGTGGAAATGAAAAAATTTGTAGTATACCACATCAAATTGTATAGATACGTGTTAATGGTATGATAGAGGCAATTCTTTGGAGGTTCAAAGACTGCACCAAGAATGTAATACAACATTTAGAAAAAATATGTTTTGTAATATGTACTTTGTGGCAACAACTGAATAATGAAAATGTGTTTATAATGTATAATATGACTATTATTTATATTCTGTATTTGTGAGCTTCTTAAGGGGCCTGTTATAGAGGAGGGTAGAAATAACCTAAGCTACTCTATCCTTTTGAGATGTATTTTATCTCAATGCATTCCTTAAACTTTAACATGAACTAGGGATGGAGGCGATATTTTGGCATCCCATTTTATTATAAGCCTTTACACTACTTGGTAGTAGTCCAGGATGGACCGAATCTTTCCATTTCCGAATCCAGGACGGATCTTTCCTGCCTCTGTTCTCCATAGACACCGTCTTGTTGTATGGGCTATTATACACAATATGCCCAAACGTGAACCTTTGTCGTGGCTCTGTTGCTGTAGACTCTTGCTCTTCTGAGTAAATAGTTAAACGCTCTACTCTTCTTAGCAAGCGTGATCTGACTTAAGTTATCTGCCCCTCTGTACTCTCTTAACTCTTTTGCCCCATTTTATTTTGTCTCTACTTTGGTTATCTATATTCGCATCTCCTTTATTTACTGTTTTGTGTTTATTCTTCATTCGTTCTTTGTTTCTTTGTTTCTTTGTTTAGTTTCTCCTTCCATCTCATAGGGAGCTGACTTTAGCTTGGTTTCCGTGTTGTTGTTTTAGACTCAGCTACTCGGAACAAAAAGTTCCAAGCAGCACGGGCTGTGGTGAGCCCGTCGTGCTTACCTCTCAGATGTGTCCAACCGATTTTCGTGTTATATTTTTTCCACTTATACCTCATCTCACCACCTCTCCGGCCTTATAATGGCGTCCTTTCCCATTATTTCTTTACGGGCTATTCATTCCCGTGCCACCTCATGGGTGGCTTAATCTTCATCAATCAATCAATCATATTTTTTATAATTTTTGATATATACGGGTACAATACGGACGTATTTAGGGTCTGATCTTTTCATGTGTGCGTTAGGTTATTTGATAAACTTAAAGTTATCATAACCTTTTAAATGTATGTCAGTGGATGAAGCAAAGCCTTAGAGATAATTTGAATTATGTGCATTCATAAAAACCGATCAGCGATTGGCAAAACAAAACTTGATAATAAACGTAATTGGAAAACAAATTATCAAGAAAAATGTCTTGATAAGAAAACGCCGTATCAAGGAAAACAAAACAGTTCAACTTAACGCTTAGAATTTAACAAAAATTCATCGATGGCAATTTTGCACCTCGCCTGCACTGCAAGAGAAGCATATGGGAAATAAAAGCCTATTGTTTTTAAGTTTAATGGTGAGTAGGCTAGTAAATAAAGCTTGTATTTATGGCGACAAAAGCCAGGGGTAACAATGAAGTCGAGACTGGAGGCTTTGTTGGCCCAGAGTTTCAGAGTCGGCCAACCCGGTACGTAATGTCCCGTGTTTAAACTAGCGATTTATATATATATATATATATATATATATATATATATATATATATATATATATATATATATATATATATATATATATATATATATATAATATTTGAGCAAGCTTGAGTATGACTTCTTCCTGCTCTCCTCCTCTGACACATACTCCACACCTCTTCTCAGAGCCACCCAGGCTCATCCTCACGATAAATATTAAGTCTCAATCATTTTATACAATTAAGTTGTAAGCAATTCTACTCAGGGTTGAGCTCTTGGACCCCGCCACTCTAACTTTCAGTTGACTAATGCACTTACTCCCCATCTGTTTTTTTTCCTCATATTTTTTAAATATTTCTCTCACACATACACACACATCCACAAAGTGTTGGGCCACGATACCTGGTTAACTCCAAGGATGGGACGGGGGGAAGGAATAATGCCCAACCACTTGGGCTGGACGGTAGAGCGACGGTCTTGCTTCATGCAAGTTCGCGTTCAATCCCCGACCGTCCAAGTTGTGTGACACCATTCTCCCCCCCCCCTCTTCCACGTCACGTCTTAAATTATTATACTGATTCCTTCCAAGTGCTTTATAGTCGTAATGGCATGGCGCTTTCTCCTGATAGTGTCTCCCGGATACCTATTTAATGCTAGAGGAACAGAAGCATCAAGGGATAGAAAGCAATATTTGTTTCTATCTTGGCCGGAATTCGATCCCGGGGTCACTTGATCGTGAGGCTGGCGCGTGTTTGTGTAATTACCAAAATGTAGTTACAGGATGAGAGCTACGCTCGTGGTGTCCCGTCTTCCCAGTACTCTTTGTCGTATAACACTTTGAAACTACTGACGGTTTTGGCCTCTACCACCTTCTCACTTTGCTTGTTCCAACAGTCTACCACTCTGTTTCCAAAAGCAAACTTTCTAATGTTTTTTCGACACCTCGTTTCCTTATCTTGAAACCGTGTCCTCTTGTTCGTGATGTTGCTGGGCTCAGGAATTCCTCATTGTCAATTTGGTCGATTCACGTTAGAATTTTGTACGTGGTGATCATATCACCTCTTTTTCTTCTAACTTCTTGTTTAAGCATGTTTAATGTCTGTAGTCTCTCCTTATAACTCTTGTTTTTCAGTTCTGGAAGCCATTTTGTAGCATGTGCGTGTGTGTGTGTGTGTGTGTATTCACCTAGTTGTGCTTGCGGAGGTTGAGCTCTGCTCTTTCGGCCCGCCTCTCAACTGTCAATCAACTGTTTCTACTACTACTACTACTACTGCTACTATTTTTTTCCCCACACTACACCTAGTGAGAGTTTACCTATTGTGTGTGTGTGCGCGCGTTCGTGCGCGTGCGCGCATAATATCCAATTCAAGATTGTTCACAGTCTCATTTAGTAAACATTTTATCACTGTGTACGTACTCTCCATATCTTCACCTGGGGCCAGATTCACGAAGCAGTTTAATGAAAGTACTTATGAACGAGTACATCTTTCCTCAATCTTTGACGGCTTTGGTTACATTTATTAAACAGTTTACAAGCATGAAAACTTCCCAATCATCTGTTGTTATTGTTATAAACAGCCTGCTGGTGCTTCGGAGCTCATTAACTGTTTAATAATTGTAAACAAAGTCGCCAAAGATTGAGAAAAGATGTACAGGTTCGTAAGTGCATGCGTAACTGCTTCGTGAATCTGACCCTAGATCTGCAACTTGTCAGGAAACACACAATACGGAGATGACATTATATTGTTAGTGAAGGCTGCTTCACTAACAATATAATGGTAACAGCTTGGTAGGTCGTATCACAAAAAAGGAGGGATGTTCCTCGATTGTCATTTGATATATTGCAATGACAAAGACAGGTCACAGTAGGAGTCACTGCTGGTGTGTGTATGTGTTGTGAAAATGGGTTTGGTACGTGGTGAGTGAGCCTTCGTCTCTCTGTCATTCTGTCTGTTTCTCTCTCTCTCTCTCTCTCTCTCTCTCTCTCTCTCTCTCTCTCTCTCATTATTTCGCTTGTTCCCCTCGCTCACAATGGCCGTGGTTTAACTATTGCCAAAAGACGGTCACGAATATGCTCTCGACAAAGGTCGAGACAACATTATTCCTGATTTACCTCACCTTAATTGTGCCGGCTAGACTTCAATAAATTATGAGTGATTTAGTACCTGGCAGACTGATAATTTACGCTCCGGTACCATAACACGTGGAGGGAGGGGGGGGGGGGCAGGGAGGAGGAGTCCCGTTCAGCAA